TTCTGGTGGAAGATTTTAACATTAAACACTTGGAGGACTTCTCTGTGAGGAAGAGTTTACAGGAAATGGACAACAATGCAGGCAAGAACAAAGTTGAATTTTCGGATGACTGGATGGAGGCCAACATCACCATCACGATTCCTTTGAAATCGAAAGAGGATGAAGGTAGACTTTTTCCATTTCCAGGTTCCATTTTCGCCCCCTTGTCAAAGTAATCCAGTCAGCTTTCAAGGATATTCAAGCGAGTGCATTTTATCTTGCACCTTTCAAGCATCTATGGAAGGATCCATTAGATGATCATCAAGAGCGAATATTTGATGAGTTATACCCACCTGACTCTTGGCTAGATGCCCAAGATGAGGTGCAGAAGCTCCCAAGGGAGCCTGGATGTACGCTAGAATGGGTCATCGCTGGTCTCATGTTTTTTTCCAATGGCACACATCTTGCGAATTTTGGAATGGCAAAAGCCTGGCCCCTCTATATGTGCTTTGGGAATTTGACAAGGTACACTTGTGCTGCACCAAAGTCTGGCACATGTCATCTTGTGGGGTTTTTACCATCTGTGAGTTTCCCTACTTCACCTTTAACTGTCATTTTGACATTTTGAGCTTCAGTTGCCTGATAAGATCAAGGATGTTCTGAGCAGCCTGCCTTGCATATCAAAAAGCGGCATGGCTGCCCTTAACAACCACTGTTGACACAAGTTGTTTTATGGATGCTGGGATACCTTGTTAGACCAAGACTTTCTTCACGCATACCGCCATGGTATTGTATTAAAATGTGCCAATGGAGTGCTTCGTAGAATATTTCCTCACATATATACATACTCAGCTGATTATCCTGAAAAGTATGTTCTGTCTTTAAAGATTGGTGTGTTACTGAACAAATATTAGGGTTTTAATTGCCACTATCAAAGACATGGGCTCTTGCCCCTGCCCTTGTTGCCTCACACTGAAAAGAATGTTTGCTTCTCTAGGCCTCCTCAAGGATATGAAGAACCATATGAATGATCTTCAGGTCTATGTCAAGGCCAACATCATCAAGGCACGAGAATATATTTATAAGTTTGAAAATACTGTGGACAGTATGAAGGTTCAAGAGATGCTCGGAGAGGGCTCATGGGTACCTGTGCTAGTAAGTGTGATGTATCCACCACTCTGTCATACTGGCTCAGATGAATGACCCTCAGAATAAATTTGCCAAGAAGCTGGGAGGACTTGGCCTTGACCCATTTCACATGTTCATTGTAGACTTCATGCATGAGTGCGAGTGGGGTACCTGGAAGGCACTGTTTACTCACCTTGTCAGGATCCTCTATGCAGTACCAGGCGGAGAACAGCTAGTTGCAACCTTGGATTCCAGGCAAGTAAAGTTTGTATGATATTTATACTACATAATAAATAGTGAATTCTGTTGCACCCAGATTTTGTCAGGTTCCAACCTTTGGTAGTGTGGTAATCCAAGCCTTTGCCAACAATATGTCCAAGATGAAGAGACTAGCTGCTAAGGACTTTGAGGATATCTTGCAGGTTTCTCATCCCTTTAATTCACTGTTATCTATGTAGCTCCCTGATGCCCTTCACCTAGTGTGCAATACCCGTGTTTGAAGGGTTGTTTCCCCATCATCATGACATGATTGTGCAATCTCTCTTATATAGATTCGCACAGTGGCATGAACTTGCCAAGCTAAGAACTCATTCAGAGTCAACCCTAGATTTTCTCAACGAAACATGCAAGGTTCTCTCTCAGCAGCTGCAGAAGTTCCACGACTTTACCTGCACTGCCTTTAAGATGGTGAAGTTGGCAAAAGAGAAGGCAGCTTGCCAATGGAGGTTCACGCAATGTGCTGGACCCAACAGTGCTTCTCCAGAATCAAGTGGACCAAGGATAAAAAGGTTCAATCTGAGCACCTACAAGTTTCACGCAATGGGTGATTATGTGTGAACTATCAAGCTATTCAGGACTATGGATTCTTTCACCACCCAGATTGTGAGCTTCATCTCTTTCCTAGCCCTCAAGGATTCTTCTGAAGTTATGTTATTGGCTAGGGGGAGCTAGCACACAGAGCCTTGAAAGCATTCTATCCACTAACTAGCAAGCTGGACACTCCAGCACAGCTAGCAAAGCATGAGCACAGGCACTGTGTGTTATGGTGAGTCACAGAAGCAGCAGGTAGTATCTCCTCAAATGATGGATCTCCAGCCAACCATCCTGCTCCATGGTTGTCCAAGGACCAGAAAGATCATATCTTGTATAGGCTGAAAAAGCTGGACATCAATCATTGTGACCACACATTCACAGCTGAGGAATGCAAATACGGTCTACTCGGTTCAAATGATGCACGTACATTATACCACTTATGATATGAGGCGTGAATACAACATCATCAACCCTAGAACCTATGCCAATGTGATGGTGTTTTCCGGAGAAAGCACTCCCAGCCACCCTTACTGGTATGTGTGTGTGATGGGTATTTATCACATGGACACCTGGCTCCAAGGGGGGGAGCACCTTGAAGTCCTTTATGTCAGATGGCTTGCGCCATTGATATCATATTAGTCTGGTATGCAGCGCGCTCACCTTCCTAAAGTGGTGTTTGTTGAGGAGTTGGACCATGACACATTTGAATTACTTGATCCTGTTAAGACCGTGCTCGGGGGTAAGATGGAGTCTGAGGGGCTCGGCTTCAGCTTGTGCGCTGCACCCCTTACCCGAGTATGTGCCCCTAATTTTGGATTGTAGTCCAACTTGAGTTCCATGAGCTCCAACAGGACGTCAGAGCGGAGGTCCTCCAAAGGAGGACTGACAGACTACTAGATAAGCGTGGGAATGTCAGGTGGAGATTAGTCCGCCCTACAGGGGAGAGTCGGCTGGGCTACTGCAGTCAGAGCTAACAGTAGGAACAGAGCAGGGGAGACTGCTTGGACGAAGTCTGAAGCAGAATGGAAACACGGAGGATAAAGGCACGAGAGGATTGGCCACAAGTCCAACACGTGGGAAAGGCGGCGGAGATGCAGGAAATTGGACAAGTGGAGAAGGCAGCTGACCTAGGGAGTCAATCCCCTAGGCCGGCAAACAGGAGTTGACTTGGGTTGAGCCTAAGTCAAAGGACAGAAGAGCAGGGCTTAGGAAAGGTAATATTCAGACTGAGTATCTACAGACAAATGTACATATGTTTATATACTCTAAGTAAGTAGCATAGCATAGCAGAAGGCTATGTGCTGAGTGTACAGGATTACAAGAGAGATGACTGAGACATACAAGAAAGAGGCTCGGAGAATAGTATGTATGCGACAGAGATAGGACCAGTTGAGTGTAGGAGTGGACCAGTGAGGCGGACTAATAGTCGGGCGGGGCAATACAAGCAGAACTGAAGGAACTGAGCGGGTCAGAAAAGTGGAGGGAGCAGGATTGGGCGGACCGATAGGGCGGAGGAGCGGAACTCCAGATAGGGTCAGATGGAAAGGGTATGGTGTCAGAGGGAATAGGGGTAGCATTGGAGGAGCAGAGCAGAGTTGGGCAGAGGTAGCAGGGCTAGTCCTACTGAGATGCACTTTGTGCATTGTCAGGGAAGGAGGAATGAAGCGGATGGGGAAACAGGGGGTCAGACCAGCAGTAGGGATGCTCACAGGTGGTGTTGGAGGTGCTTGGATCCAGTATATGACAGATCCAGGCCAAGTGATTTGGGGAGCTCATTTGATTCCAGCATTCGCTTTGGGGCGCGGTGTCAGCTCACTTCACCATGGAAATTTGTTAGCACATCCCAAGGGGGAACTTGATGACTGGGAAGTGTATTATGTCCAGATGTGAGTGTTGTGTGTCTTCTTACTTGTGGCTGAATGACTCTTAACTGTCCAAACTAGTTTTGTCAATCAAGATATGTTCTTGCATTATACTGACCTGGGCATAGGACACCTGGTTTCTTTATGGAGGATTGTCAGAGACTGTTTTGGCCTCCACAAGTCAGCTGCACTGGGGGAGGCTATGGATGTTAACGAAGGCGGTGAGAACCACGACGATGAACAACAGATGGATGTTGACTTTCCTGACAAATATTCAGAGGATGAACAAGATGAAATGTTTGAGGGTGAGGAAGAGCCTGAAGATGGGCTTGATGACCTTGAGGAGAAAGTTGAAGAGTTTAATGATTTCTCATTTTGAGTTAGGTTCAACTTCAGTGACTCATGCAACCATCCTTCGAATGGTGCAGGTCGACTCAAATGCTGGTGCATCAACCTCACTCCAGCTATATGATACCATCATTTTGTCCTTGATTTCCAATGGTGCTCTACAACTCCCATGTAACTTCAATTTTAACAAAATATGTCTGTCTATGAACAGCTTGCACCATGCTTGTTCCCCATAGATCGCGCTGATATCTGATGGCCTGGGAGAAAATGACTTGGACATTTTGCTCTGGCACAGAAGAGGGAAGCATGATCATCTATCTAGGTCCATGGCTTCTGCTATTTCAGAATGTTACTAGTAGAGTGTGACACTCAGCCTGAGCCTGAGCCTGAGTCAGTGGGGCCCTACTGAGTACTAAAGCTTCCACACTTCACGACTAGTACGTGTCTGTACATCCTTTGATTTTCACCATTCCCCAAAAAAGAGAAATGCTCATACCAGAACTTTTGGTTATGTCTGGGTCACCAAAAGAGGCTCAAGGTGATTTCCTGATTGTGGGCAACCAAAGGTTACCAAGTATGGCAGATTTATCACTTCTTATTCCAGACTAATCCATTCAAGTCTTCACCTTATCATTTAGGACATGGCTGGTAGATGAAAAGTATATAAGACGACCTCACAGGAACTTTCACCTCAGGTTCACTTTTCTACTTGTCTCTCATATCCTTCTCCACAATTCTTTCTACTTCATCTTTAAGATGTCAATACCTGAGAATGACCACAAGGGCGACCCTCCCACTCCTCCTCCTCAGGTGTCACTCTGTGTCATGATGCCACCTCAAGCCTGGGTGAAATGAAAAATTGCTGTACTCATGGAGGAGGTTGAAATTTTGAAGCAGGACAAAGCGACAAAGCAAAGGTGTGCACATTGTTGACCTCTTGACAGCAGTTTTCATACCTCATTGTAGGAAAACCACCTATTATGTCTCGCAGGGACGAGCAATTTGTCAAATGGTTACTCTTTACATTCCCATAGAGGATATCATTACCGAAAATGATCGGCATTGTGAAAATGGAAACAGCAGCTCCACTCTTGAGCAAGTATTCAGGTTCATGTTGCCATGCTTGTTTAAACAGATGAATAGACAAGATCGCTTTCAATGTGGCTATGTTGAGCTCATCAAGGTACTGCCATGGTTTCATGATAAGCTGGCAAGTCTTGACCTCAAAGAGTCAGAGGAAATGCTCAGAAAGGTCTTTTTGGCCATCTTTGTCAAATTTCTTTCTCATTTTCAATGTAGCTCAAGCGAGGCATTGACTCAGCTTGTGGTGACAATACGGGAACTCTCAAAGAGCTTGTGGCCTCATGGGTCAATGTTGAGTGTCATCTGCCTTCGCTCATCAGGACCCACGATAAGCACAGTCAAGGTTTTGTGAGTGATGTGTGCAGTAAATTGCTTTGCCCAGCAGAATGGTGCTGGGAGGACCCAGTGTAAGTGATAGTCCTTGTCTCTTGGATGTTGACTGATGTGTCGTCCAGTATCAGGGCTGGCATTCGTGATCGTACAACTGCCTTCATTGGTTCTGAAAATTCTTGGCCATCATTTATGTATGAAAACTATAAAGCAGGACACCACAAATCTGGAGCGCAGTCTATTCAAGTCAAAGCTGTTAGTTATGGTGAGTGGCCTGATTTTCTGACTGAGTCATGGCTCATCGCTTTGCAGGGGTTCAAGGCCATTTTTATTTCCCCCTCCTCTGCCAATGAAGTGGATGGTGATGGCAATGGCACTGATATCATTGTCATTGATTGCTATCCTCTTTGTCCTGCTAAACTCAGATATTCGCTAGCTAGTATCTGTCATATACCTGATCCGACCGCTCCAATATCAATATCCGCTCCGCTTTCTGACCACCTCCGCTCCTTCCATTCTCCACTCCATCCAATCATTATCTGCATCCGCCCCTACGCTTCTGCTCGACCGCCCAACCGGTCCCCTTCCACAATGTCTCCATTCAACTGAAACCTCTTTCCCCTTTTAGATATATACTTTCCCCTTCGGTATATAGACCCTTACTTCCGGATCACCGGTAATTCCTATTACCGCTCGATCACTGATCCGACAGCGTACATATTAATATCTGCTCCAACTTATGTCTTCGCTTGTGTAAAGTACTTACAAACTATATCCTTGGTACATAGCTTTACAACATAGGCCTCCTGATCACTGCCTCATACATAGAAGTATATAACATATCCTGTACTTAGATATTTTCCCCAGTCTTAATATTACTTGTCTTCTTGCAGTTACTACTGGTGAGAATTCTCAGTAGGACCTTGCCTTCTCTGGACACAAGTTTCACCATGTTGTCACCTCCAACCCTCCACTCCGACTTAGAGCCGCACTCTAAGTCTTCTCTTTACCTCTCCACTCCTATCAAGCATTCCCCCTGCTCCTCTCCACCCTCCACATTATCCTCTGCCTCCTCCACTCCGCTCCTAGTTAGCCCACCGCTAGTAGCTCTTACCTCCTGACCCTCAAAGCAGACCTAAGCAGTCCACTCGTCCTATTGTCGGACAATGTCGGACCCGCTCCAAATTCGGGGCACGTACTCGGCTAAGGGCGCAGTGCAAGAGCTGAAGCCAAGCCCCGACCCCTCTGCCTCTTGAGCCGGCATGGTACCTAACAGTATCAATGTCTATTGCATCTGTGATGAATATAATACACCTGTTTTCTGATATACAGTGTAGTGTGTGCCGCCAGTGATCTGTCAATTATTGAATTTGTTTGTATGTGATGAAGCCCAACTGTTAGGCGATTTGGGAACTCCATTTATTTATGGGATGACTGGTTGTGTCAAAAAACCTTCTGGTACTGCTCCTCACTTCCCCTATAGACTTCCTCAATGACTTTACGTGTGCATGTGTTAAGGTCGTGCTCAAGGGAAAGGTAACTCAAAGGGCTTCAGCTTCAGCTTGTGCACTGCACCCCTCACCCGAGTACATGCCCTTAATTTCCAAGAGGCAGAGGGGAAGTCCAGAGGTCAGACACAGGGGGAGTTTGGCGGAACTCCGGAAGGCTAGAAACAAACAGAGTAAGGCTACTGCAGACAAGTCCGGAGTAGAAGCGGAACAGAGTTAGACTACCCTAAGGTAGAGCCAGAGATATAGTCCTAAGGATTAACCCTAAGACTCGGAGGTGGACAGGAGTTCAGACTCAAGTCCAGAGAAGCAGGAATGAGCAGAACTAAGATGATATTCAAACTGAGGAGAACTGGAGTATTACAGGAGTTTATATACTGTAGGTATCATGTAAGTAAATCAGTCAGCAAGGTAAAGGCTATGCCCCGAGCATATGGAAAGTCTATTAGTAAGAGTATAACAGATCAAAGCAGTGAAGTTGGAAATGAAGTACAAATGGAAGGATCAGTAAGCAAAGCAGAAAGACATACAACCGGTAGCTGGAGAGCAGTATTCTAAAAGGAGATAGGAGTGAGTACAGAGGTGAAGGTGGAGCGCCAGGTGGACAACAGGACAGAGAACCGGACTTTTGTAGAAGAGATCCAGAATTCCGGATCCGGAGGTACAGGATATGACAACATGATCAAAATTTGGGAGTGAACAGGCTACAATGGTCCTGGAAACTTTGTTTACCTCCTAGACAACTGGTTATGTTAAAAAAACTTTCCAGTGCTGCTCCTCAATTTCCCTATAGACTCCCTCAATAATTTTATGTGTGCATGATCAAAGTTCAGGAGTGAACAGACTACAATGGTCCTGGAAACTTTATTTATTTTTTGAACGACTGATTATATCTAAAAAAACCTCCTGGTACTGCTCATCAATTCCCCAATAGACTTCTTCAATAATTTTCCATGTGTATGATCAAAATTTGTGAGTGAACAGATCATGGCAGCCCTGTAGCAATGGAGTGAAATAGCTGCAGCACGTTGGATTGTCATAGTCTCAAGCTCAGATGCCCAATGAAGTACCAATGTTACTCTTAGTTATTTTTGGAATAAACCGACGTAGATGCCAAAGATTGGGAGAGATTATAATTTGGCACGCCACAGTGTATGCTTAGAGTGCCACACCAAGTTTCAAATCAGTATCACTACCACCAAGTCAGTAACAGACTAGTAAAGACGTCCATTGAGAAGTCATATGTAGTCTGACATATCTTGGAACAGTGTTTGTGCTCCATGTAATGAATTGTTCTGTGCGGCGGTCGATGGATAAAAATGTAATATCTGCAACTCTAGCATCAGCATTTTCTTTGCGACACAGGCTCATACTTTTTACCTGAGAGCAAACAACATGCATATGATAGTCATCCTCAGCTAGCAAAAATATATTCACAAACCCCAAATGATACACATCTGCACTATTAGTGACATCATCAATGTGTTTTTCACTCTCGCACATTGCAACCTCCTTTATCATCCCTCTCAGGCTGAGTCCATATTTAACTTCATGAATTTATGCTCATGAATTTTTTCTTTGATCCATCCAATTAAAGAATGGTAGGAAGCAAAATTAGTGTTTCCTCAACATTTCCACACATTCCCATGTGAAAGCAGTCAGCATATTTATGCAGATTGTTGCAATGTTTGACCATATATTGCCTTAAATATCATTCTCATTTGTTCACCAGTTCACTGATGATGGATGGCACTCAGCTCTATCAGAGCAAAAATTCCAATTGTTGGATTGTCATTTGGGTTATTCTTGACCATCACCCCAGCCACTGCTACAAAAAACAGTATGTTCTCCCTGGCACAGTAATCCCTGGACCCAAAAATCCAAAAAACTTTGACTCATTCTTATTTCCAGGTTTTCATCATCTCGCATCTCTATGGAATGAATGTCTTCGCATTTGGGATGCATCCCGTAACATACAGTTCACTTCATACCCCTTCCTCACTCTACCAACACCCGACACTCTTGGCCTCGTCCATTTTGATGGCATGGTTGGACATAGTGGTAGAAATGGATGCCAAGTATACTGTGGGTGTATTGGCCATTGCCACCCCCAAGGCTCCCATTATTTTCCTGCCCTTCTTGAGCCCTTTGTTGGGTACCATGCTCGGATGGAGAAGCAGAGCGGTCAGGGCTTGGCTTCAGCTCTTGTGTTGTGCCCTTAGCCGAGTATGTGCCCTGAATTTGGAGCAGGACTGACGACGTCCAAAAATAGGATGGGCAGACCACTTTGGTCCACTTTACAGGTCAGGAGGTAAAGGCTACTAGCAGCGGTCTAACTAGAAGTGGAGTGGGTGAAGCAGGGGAAGTGCATTGAGGTGGAGGGAAGTAAGGGGATTGGTTGGTTGGGTTGGAGAGGTAAGAGTGAATACTTAGAGCATGGCTCTAAGTCAGAGTGGAGGTGACGATAAGATAAACTTGTGTCTGGAGAGAGCAAAGTCCTATGGAAAATTCCCACTAGTAGAGATTGCAGGAAGACAAGTAATATTAAGACTGAGGAAAGTAGCTAAGTACATGATATGTTTTATATACTTCTAAGTAGGAGGCAGTGACCAGTAGTCCATGGTATGAGGCTATGTACCGAGTATACAATTTGTAAGTATTAACACCAGTGAAAACATGAGTTGGAGCGGATATATCATATACCTCATCTGACCGCTCCACCAATATTAATATCCACTCTGCCCGACATCCTACTTCCCCCATTACCCTACCATCTCCACTCCATCCACCCTCCGCACGACCTAGTTGGCTTCCGCATCCGCTCCTATGGCTCCACTCGACTGCCTTGTCAGTTGCCTTCTGCACCATCCATTCTACTGTAAATCTCCTTGCCCCATTTAGGTATATACTTTCCCTATTTGCACATAGTACTTACTTCTGGATCACCAGTAACTCCTCTTACCACTTGATCACTGATCTGATGCGTACATATTGATATCCGCTCCGACTTATGTCTTTGCCTGTGTAAGTACTTACAAACTATATCCTTGGTACATAGCTTTACAACATAAGTCTCCTAATCACTGCCTCACACTTAGAAGTACATATATAACATATCCTGTACTTAGATAGTTTCCTCAGTCTTAATATTACTTGTCTTCTCACAGTCTCTACTTGTGAGAATTCTCAGTAGGACCTTGCCCCCTGTGGACACAAGTTTCATCTTGTTGTCACCTCCGACCTTCTGCTCCGACTTAGAGCGGTGCTCTAAGTCTTCCCCCTTACTTTTCCGCCTCTATCAATAAACCCCATTGCCCCTATCCACCATGTGCACTATCCTCTGCCTTCCCTGCTCCGCTCCTAGTCGGCCCACCACTAGTAGCATTTACTTCCTGACCCTCAAGCGGACCAAAGTGGTCTACTCGTCCTACCATTGGACAACATCGGACCTGCTCCAAATTCGGGGCACATACTCGGCTAAGGGCACAGTGCAAGAGCTGAAGCCAAGCCCCAACCCCTCCGCTTCTTGAGCCTGGCACGGTACCTAACAGGATATCAATATGTACACGACCAATCAGTAATCGAGCAGTTATATGGTGTGGTTCACTTAGAGGCCGCTACTTTTGTCCAAAAGTTTTCCCACACTCAAATTTTGTCAGATTTTCAATTTCTCTTGGGAAAATGTTGCTTTTGATGTGTTGAATAAAACCCCAAGAGTAATTTTTGATGGAATCAAATTTGAGCAAGATTTTATTTTTGGGCACCCCAAATTGGTGCATTGGTAAATAGTATGTGTACTACTCGTCAACAGCCTGTGCCACTGCGTCTGGAATATGTCTGTGAGATTTGTACTGTCTTGAACTAAATTTCTTGACCTGCAGCTGTACATCAGCAGTCCTGAGTTCCATCCTGTAAGCATCCATCCACCTGCATCAGGAAAATGTGGTAAGGCTATATAGCCACCCATAGCACTATAGACTGCTATACAGACTCCATAGCCCTATAGCTCATATAGCCAAGTGCCCAATTGTGCAGGCTTACTACACCAGTGTATAGTGCTATATAGCTCTATTAAAGTTGCTATAGCTGGGTGGAACATACCACAACTATTGTAACTATTGTAGCTCTTATAGCTCAAAACACAAAGCAAAAATTTCTCTTAATAGCTGTTTGTTGCCATGATAGTGTTCTCAAAATTAAAAATTAAAAAAAAGCGAAAATTCCAAATTATATTTCAACTGCTACAATACATGTAAACTAATAACTACAAAACAGGCAAAAATGCGAAAATTACAGGAGGAAGAGGCAAGAGAACTAGAAGGAAGAATTAGAGAGGAAAGAACTTACCAAATAGTGAAAATTGCGAAAATTCTTGAGGGAAGAGGAGGGAAGGGAGCTAGAAGGAGAGGATTAGACAGGAGGAAGTGAGAGTCAGAGAAAAGACTTGCCAAATGGTCAAAAATGCGAAAATAGTTGGGGGGAGGAGGAGCAGGAGGGAAGAGAGCTAGAAGGAGAGGGTTAGAAAAAAGATTAGTCAAATAGTCAAAAATGCGAAAATTATGGAGGGAGACTTACCAGAGTTCAAAGCACCAGCACCAGTACCAGCACCAACAACATCAACACCAAGAGAAGGATAGAGAAGCAAGAAGAAGAGAAGAGAGGCAAAAACTCGAAAATTGTAAGAGAAATATTGAAGATAATCTAATGAGGGGGCAGTGGGGGGGAAGGAAAGAATGGGAAAAGACTTGTTGGTTGACCGCATTTTTGCTTACATAAGCAGTGCCAAACAAAGCCACAACACAAGACTTGGTGAATTTTCGAGTTTTTGCTTATTAGGACTAGGATTATGACAGTAAGAAAAAGACAATGAAATTGACTGTTAGCATTAGGATTTTGAATACACATAAGGTGAATTTTCGCATTTTTGCTTACATAAATAAGGTGTACCTTAACACTTTTGAACCCTTCAATTCCAAGTATTTTCCTTATAACTCACTAAGATCTTGACCTATTGAAGTCATTAGACTATGGATAGACTTCCCTTGACAAGGACTACAACTTTGATTTAATCGAAAAAGGTTCCCACGGTCAAGTTGCTTTCTTGAACCCTTCGATTTCGAGTATTTTCCTTGTAACTCACTAGGATCTTAACCTATTGAAGTCATTAGACTATGGATAGACTTCCCTTGACAAGGACTACAACTTTGGTTTTCATTGAAAAAAGTTCCCACAGTCTACTGGGGTCTATAGTTGTTGAAATGTTTTACTTCTAAATACACTTACCAAACTTTATGGTAATATAGACTTTCATGATGTCTATACTGGTCTATAGCGCTGTGATAGCTTGCGATAGACTGTATAGAGCTGTGGTGTGCTATCGGGGCTATATAGAGGATGGTCCTCTATATAGAGATACAGTTTTTCCTGATGTGTACATTCAATGTTCCCACTGCCAGATGGTTTGGAGTGGCACTGATGCGAGCGCCTTTCAGGAACCACCTCATTTGCTGTTGTGGACAGTCATGGCTCAAGTGAAGGTGACGGAGCTGTCGCTCTGTTTGTGCTTTTGTCAATGATAAACATCTGGTGCATCATTGAGACCTGGGGGTTGTTAATGCCAGTGAGACAGGTAAGCAGCTGTACTCATCATTGACATGAAAAATCAGGGGAGGACTCACAATTTTCGTGCAGATTCACGAGCCTGTTCATGTTTGTGGGCCTGTTTTGCATGACATTGCTGAGTGCACTTTGAAATGCCTGTATATCCCAGGGCTCAATTCTTCTCTGCCTTTTGCCAGATCTCGACAGTCTTTGGTGCAGCTACCTTCGCATATCCACTTTTCATGCTGCTTTTGACATCATCTCTGAGAGCCTTCATATTTTCCTCCAGGTCTGTTCCTTCCAATTCCTCCAAGCTTTCATCCACGTCTGACATCCTTTCATTGTCAGAGGGCTTGTGTCCACCAGCAGTATACGAGTCAGGCTCTGACCATATGCAGTTGACACCGCTATCGTACCCACATTCAGACTCGGACTCGGATTCAACTGCAATGGGTGGCGACTCTGGCAAGAGGACTGGTGGTGCACCATGAGGCGGACACGCGTTATTGGAGGATGTTTGAGCTTTTCTTGCAAGCCTTGCACCTCTTGCACGAGCTGCTGCTGCTTTCTGGTGCCCATTGGCCATTTTCAAGTAATACTGATCACATCACAACTTGTTCAAACTTTCAAACATTATTCAAGCAAGCAATGACACCCAGTTCATGATCATCGAAGCTGGTGTACCTTCTGTAGCTAGGATTCACGTCTCATATTAGGGTTAGGGTTATATCTGTCGTTGTTGATGACTTGATTTGGCACTTGGACAAAAGTAGCGGCCTCTAAGTCACCTCAACCTCACATAATTTGGACCTTATTAGATTGCCATAATGGGGTGGTAATGGCAACCTAGTTAGCATAGGATCTTTGCTATCCCACTCACTGCCAGTAATACCATGAATAAATGCTTTATTCCCTAAATGCTTTATTCCCTAAATGCTTGCTAACATAATTAGGGCTATTGTTAGGTACCGTGCCAACTCAGGAAGCAGAGGGGTCAGGGCTTGGCTTCAGCTCTTGTGCTGTGCCCTTAGCTGAGTACGTGCCCCAAATTTGGAGTGGGTCTGACGTTGTCTGATGATAGGATGAGTGGACCGCTTTGGTCTGCTTTGAGGGTCGGGGAGTAAGAGCTACTAGCGGTGGGCCAACTAGGAGCGGAGCGGAGAAGATGGGGAATGATGCGGAGGGTGGATAGGAGCAGGGGGAATGTTTGGTAGGGGCGGGGAAGGCGGAGGATAATGCGGAGGGACAAGGGAGAATATTTGATAGGGGCGGAGTATAAGGGAAAGACTTTAGAGCACAGCTCTAGGTCGGAGCGGAGGGTTGGAGGGTCGGAGGTGACAACAAGTTGAGACTTGTGTCCAGAGGAGGCAAGGTCCTACTGAGAATCCTCACAAGATGTAACTGCAAGAAGACAAGTAATATTAAGACTGAGGAAAATATCTAAGTACATGATATGTTATATACTACTATGTATGAGGCAGTGACCAGGATAACTATGTTTTAAAGCTATGTACCAAGGATATAGTTTGTAAGTACTTTACACAGGCGAAGACATAAGTTGGAGCAGATATCAATATGTATGCGTCGGATCAGTGATCGGGCAGTAATAGGAATTACCAGTGATCCGGAAGTAAGGGTCTATGTACCGAAGGGGAAAGTATATATCTAAAAGGGGAAAGAGGTCCAGTTGAATGGAGTCGTTATGGAAGGGGACTGGTTGAGCGGTTGAGCAGAAACGTAGGAGCGGGTGCAGATGATGATCGGATGGAGTGGAGGATGGGTGGAGTGGAGGTGATTGGAGAGCAGAGCAGATATTGATATTAGAGCAGTTGGATCAGGTATATGACAGCTATTATTGGAGGCTGCCGAGGGTAACTGTCAGCTATGTCAGCAACATGATTCCCAGGCACTCCGACGCTTCGGCAACTCTGCACTCATCACCAATAGTATGTGCTCACTGTTCCCCACAACGAGCAAGGTAAGTCCCTCAGTTCTGGACCATTTTTCTTCAACCACTTTTTTAGATGCTATTTATGTCGCTCATCATGCTCCTGATGTTCCCATAGGCCCATGCCCTCGAGGGCACTATGTTTTAATTGTAGTAAGTCTTCTACTCAAACACACATGTGACTATGTTGATCGTATCTGTAGTTACATAACATCACACCCTTCAATGTTGCTGTCAGTGACATTCTCCTTACCCTTCTGTCCCTCCAATGCTATGCTGAAGGAGAATGGCGTCTCACGTTCGGTCACCCTCGTTATTGCCAATGCGGAGCCCTTGACCTGCTGTGATCACGCTCGACTTAGTTGACAAGTGTGTTCACTGACTCCAACACTCCAACATAGACACAATGCTCAGCATGTCAGGTAAGTTAGCCCTTAATTCTATCTATTGTTCATCTCATTTTCCAAAGAGCTGTGGTACAGTGGGCCGCTGAGCACATGGTGAAGACTCTATACCATCTTTTCTTTCCCACTTTCGAGCCAGTCAGTGTACCGTCTTTGTTTCTGACTTTCGAGCCAGTCAGTGAACAACCAGGGGATTCAAGTAGGGAGGTATGGGGACGTCTTGCAGCTGACTCTCGCTGTTCATTGAATCAAGTTGGAATAGTCAGTAGTAGCTCAATCAATGTATCCATTTTGCCTCGAGAACAACTTGAAGCACACTTGAGTACTTGCACCATCAGCTTCGATGTAGGCAAATCAAATTGTATTGACAATGAGCTATTATCCGAAGTAAGAATTGACAGAGAAAATTAAGCAGTTGGGGCATTCGTGTTGGTGGCTTGTGGGCGTTTAGAGCCTCGTTTTTTTCCCTTATCAGAACATGTCTTCCTAGCTTTCTTAGTACCTACAACTTCCTTGCCACCTACTCCCGAAATAACATTGACAAATGTTTCTTGCGGGAGACTTGTTGTTTCGATGGTGGACAGTGCAGGTGCCTCAGTTGTAGTGGGTGAAGACCACACAGGGTTGGCAGAGCTTGAGCCTTCTGATGGAATTTGGGGCAGAGTAGAACCAGCGCGATGCTCGCGAGCTTTCCGATAGTTAGAATGAAAATTTTCAAGTGTATGTAGACTTACCTGAATCAGCAATCAATTTCGGCTGGAACCTGCCTTCGTCCCACTGCTTGAACTCAGCCTTTGACATCTTCCAGAACTTTGCAGTTCCTGTTTTCCATGCACTATTGAGTACCTTGACTTCAGTGTGTGAGCCAATATCTCCAGGGCTGCAAAATTTCAGCAGCGGCCAGCCCTCACAGACTACACCATATTTTGCTGTAATGTTTTCTTCAAAGTTGACATAAAACATCCTAGGCACATTAACTTGCACAGCCTCGCCTATTGAGAAGTTAAAAATAACCACACTGATATGAGTCAAGATAGACTTACGAAGTTGTTCGATGATCAATGAACTTGTTTGTGCTTTGAGAGCAATGAGGGCCTGCTTGTAGTTTTGAACAACACCTATGTTCGAGTGAGAAAGGCTATTTTCAAGTGGACATGCTCGGATACTCACCAGCGACTCCAGATAAACAATATGCCTCAAGGTGAGTGGCGACATCAGTGTTAGTTGTGGTGATTGAGCACCTTATGGTGCGAGTTATTTGTGTTATGATGTTGCTTCCTCTATTGGACTCTCACTTAGCATGTGATGTGAATTCCTTACTTACTTAGGCAGTGTTTACACTTGTTTACATAGACTCGCCCATAGGTAGCAAGTCCTGTGTTGGTTGCTCTTTAGCAACTGACACTGGACTATAGGTATAGTACACTCATTAGTTTACACAACACAATAGCAACTGACACTGGACTATAGTCCTATCAACTCTCATTAGCTCACTTGTGCCTTGGTCCTTCAGTGATTCTAACAGGTTATGAGCCCTGCACTTTAAGGACCCTCCAATCACTCATTATTCAGCCAAACACTACTCTATCCCATTCCTTTCGGTTTCCATCGCATTCTACACCCTCAAAAGCCCCCAGCGTCGCATTTGAGCATAGTTTGGTCCACTGGAGCATCCATAGAGTTGTTGTTGAGCTACAGTCTGTGTCAGGACCCATAGTGCGCATTTTTTGCTTGTTTGTGCTACTGCTACCTATCCCTACACTCCCTGCTGCCTATCCCTACACTCCCTACTACATTCCCTCGCCTCCCTATGCCTCCGCCGACGTCCTGCATCACCTATACCACTCTGCTCGCCTCCCAGCCTCTTGCCATGTCTTCTGAAGATTCCAAGTCCCCCATCCATATCACCAAACTCACTTCCAGCAACTATCCTACCTGGAAGGGTGAAATGAAGGCTTATCTTCGCACCAAGGGCTTGTGGCTGCTTGTCAGTGGGACAGAGAAGCGCCCTGCAGACACTCAAGCTGATGCTCAGGCCAAATGGGATGTCAAAGCGGACAAGGCTGCTGGAGAACTGTACCTTGCTTGCTCAGTTCAGCAGAGGATGCACATTGATGCTGTCCAGGATGACCCTGTCTCCATATGGTCCACCCTCGCTTCAATCCATGTCCAGCAGCGTCCTGGAGCTCGCTTCAACGCCTGGGACGACTTCTTCTCTATTAGGAAGCAGCCTGATGAGCCCCTAAGCACCCTCATTGCTAGGATAGAAGAAGGCATGAGTAAGATTCAGGAGCTTCGCCCAAAGGACACTAGCAAGCCCTATTCCATCACTGACTTGGATGCTGAACTAGTCTGTATGACTATGGTTCGCTCCCTGGGTGAGGAATACAACCATTTTGCGTCCTCCCTCATGCTACTCAAGTCCTTGGACAAGGAGGAGCTCAAGTCTGCCTTCCTAGTAGAGGAATTGCAGCGCAAGCGTCGTCCTGAAGGTCCTACTGGCGACTCAGCCCTATTCACATCCTCAGGAGAATGTAGATGTGGCACTAACATTACCTGCTACTTCTGTGAGAAGGCTGGCCATTGCACTCACAAGTGTAACGCTCTGAAGCGTGCCAAAGACAATGCAAAGTCTGGCAATGGTCAAGGGAAGGGTAATAAGCGTCCTAGAAACGCTAATAAGGCCTCTGAGCCTACCACTCCACCCACTACCACTCCTGCTGCGTCCACATCATCTCCTACCACTCCTGCGGCGTCCACCAACACTCAGAGCACCCCTCAGAATGCCCAGAACGTCATAGAGTTCACTGGAAATGCAAGTCTTCGCTCTTTTGACCCTTCCCATCCCCTATGTCCTCTCCAAGTCGATGCAGAGGCTGACTGGAATGCAGACACAGGTGCCACTTCTCATATGACCCCCCATCGTCACTGGCTTTGCAATTATACCCCAAAACGCGTCCCAATCAAGCTAGCCAACAACACCTTTGTGTATTCTTCTGGGGTGGGCACTGTGGTGTTCAATCCAGTCATAGATGGGAAGAGGGCTAGAGTGGTCGAGTTATCTCGAGTTTTGCATGTCCCAGACCTTCATAATAATCTGCTCTCTGTGCTATACCTTACTCGCCATAGTGGCTTTCATGTGCACATAAATGCAACCAGAATGTCCTTTGAACGTCCTGCAGGCACCACTCTGTTCATTGCCTCTATCAATGGCAGTAATGCAGCTTTCTTAGATGGCTCTACTGTGCCTCTATCAGAATATGCCTCTGCAGCGACCACTCTACCTCTGGACTTGGACCTATGGCACAGAAGACTTGCCCATCATCACGTAGCAGGTGTCAAGAAGCTTATTGATCAGGATATGGTCATTGGACTCAAGCTGGATTCAAAGAAACTGCCAGATCCTATCTGTGAGCCATGCTTAGCTGGGAAGATGCATGCAAACCCATTCCCCTCATCTCAATGGCGTGCTACTCGACCTCTGGAACTTGTCCACACTGATGTCCATAAGGTCCCCTACCCCAGTTTCTCTGGCTGTCGCTATTGGGTCACATTCATCGACGACTTCTCTCGATTTCGCTTTGTGCTCCCTATTAAAGCTAAGTCTGATGTCTTTGAGGCCTTCAAGACATTCAAGGCCTATGCTGAGAACCAGTCAGAGCGAAAGCTCAAGATCCTCAGAGATGACAAGGGAGGGGAGTACATGAGCAATGCCTTCATTGAATTCACCACCCAGTGTGGCATTGAGAGGCAGCACACTGTTCGTGCTAGACCACAGCAGAATGGGGTTGCTGAGAGAGCTAACAGAGTCCTCTCTGAGCGACTCACTGCTATGCTGGATGAGTCTGGGCTTCCCAAGGCCTTCTGGGGCGAGTGTCTTGCTGCTCTGGTCCATGTCTGGAACAGATGCCCTACCGAAGCTGTAGACAGCGCTACGCCCTATGAGCTGTGGCATGGTAATAAGCCTGATGTCTCACATCTTCGAGTTTGGGGATGCACTGCCTATGTGCACGTCCAGAGGGACAAGAGAGATGGACTTGGCTCCCACATGGAAAAGTGCGTCTTCATTGGCTACCCTGCTGGCTACAAGGGCTGGAAGTTCTACAACCCCACCTCCAAGAAGACAATCATCTGTGTAGACCAGCTGGAATCAAGGTCATTGGCTCCAAGTGGATATTCAAGGTGAAGCGCAATGCTGATGGCTCTATTGAGCGCTACAAGGGCAGACTTGTTGCCAAGGGCTACAACCAGCGTCCTGGCTTTGACTATGTCGAAATATTTGCTCCAACTGTGCGTATGCCCACCATTCGTGTTGTCCTTGCTATGGCTGCCATCCATGACCTCCACCTTCGCTCCATCGACATCTCACATGCCTATCTCAATGGGGAGATGGACTGTGACATCTACATGGAACAACCTGAAGGCTTTGCTGAAGGTGATCCCAAGAAGATGGTCTGCCTTCTTCAGAAGAGCATCTATGGGACCAAGCAAGGTGGCAATCGCTGGAACAAGAAAATGCCCTCTGTTCTGGAGTCTATTGGATTCACCCAGTCCTACTCTGATGCCAGCATCTATATCTATGTTAAGAGTGAAGTTAGGATCATCTTGCCTGTCTTTGTTGATGACATGACCTTTGCATCGAAGTCTGCTTCTGCAATTGATCAGATCATCAAGGACTTGTCTCAGCACTTCAAGCTTCGAGACTTGGGCCCTACCACCCAGCTTCTAGGCATCAAGATTGACAGGGATCGCTCCAAGCACTCCATCACCATCTCCCAGCACCAGTACTGCCTTGACATCCTTGATCGCTTCAGCATGGCTGATTGCAAGCCTGTCTCCACTCCCATGCAGCCCAACCTTCGACTCACTCGTGCTCAGTGTCCCCAGACTGCTGATGAGACTCAGGACATGCGATCCACTCCTTACCTTGAAGCTGTGGGTGCTCTGATGTATCTTGCCACCACCACCAGACCAGACATTGCCTACACTGTTGGCTGCCTTGCTTGATTCAACTCCAACCCTGGCCCTGCCCATTGGCAAGCTGTCAAGCACCTGCTTCGCTATCTGAAGGGCACTGCAGACTACTCCATCACCTATGCTCCTGATCCCAATTCCATTGAACTCTTCTCCACATTCTCTGATGCTGATCATGGTGGATGCAAAGACACCGGTCACTCCACTGGTGGCTACCTGGTCAAGATTGGCCTTGGTGCTGTCTCCTGGTCGTCGAAGCTTCAAAGCATTGTGGCCTTGTCCACCACTGAAGCTGAGTACATGGCTGCAGTTGAGGCAGGCAAGGAGATCCACTGGATGCGAAATCTCTTGTTTGAGATGGGCTTCCCTGCCACTGCACCCTCTGTCCTTAGGATCGACAACCAGAGCGCCATCTCTGTGGCCAAGCACCCAGAGCACCATGGTCGGATGAAGCAGCTTGATCTCAGCTGGTATTGGCTTCGAGATGTGGTGCACAAGGAGATTATTGCACCAGTGTTTGTGCCCACTGCTGACCAGCCAGCTGACATCCTGACCAAGGCATTGGCTCGACCCAAGGTGCAGTTGTTCTGCCAGATGATGGGACTGAGTAGCTTGAGGGGGAGCTGAGATGCGTAGAGGTGCACAATCAGGGGGGAGTGTTAGTTGTGGTGATTGAGCACCTTATGGTGCGAGTTATTTGTGTTATGATGTTGCTTCCTCTATTGGACTCTCACTTAGCATGTGATGTGAATTCCTTACTTACTTAGGCAGTGTTTACACTTGTTTACATAGACTCACCCATAGGTAGCAAGTCCTGTGTTGGTTGCTCTTTAGCAACTGACACTGGACTATAGGTATAGTACACTCATTAGTTTACACAACACAATAGCAACTGACACTGGACTATAGTCCTGTTCACTCTCATTAGCTCACTTGTGGCTTGGCTCACTTGGTTATTCTAACATTCTGCGGTACAGTTCCAGTGTGCGAAGTGAGATAGCAATGGAGGGAGATTGCAGAGTTGCTCCAATATAACCATTCAGAACAAGAGCCTCAGAGACAGTCTTGACATCAGCGTTGTGCTGGATGTGAGTCACACTGGACAGTGTGTAAAGGTCAATACATTCAATTTCAAAGTCATAACTTGAAGGTGGTGCTGATAGGGATGGTGATGGTGGAGGTGCTGCATCCTTGGGGAGAGACTCTGAAGGGTACTTCCAAGTTAGATAGGCTAGAGTCAAATTGTTGATGATTGGTCCCCAGTTCTCTTGGAGGTGGGTAACACGCTGGTGCCATGTTCGCCCATCCTTATACACTCTCCACCTAGAAAATTCAACTATATGACAGCCAGGACTCATTATGAGGCTGGAGTACCTACTGGCTTCCAACAATATCCCAAACTGCATGCACAAATGTGTCATCATCCTTCAATGTCTCTGGGACGGTCTCCCATTCAAGGTCTGGGTCCATAGCAGGATCGTCGACATCCATTGCAGAGGGGGGCTCTGTGTCTGGGTTTTGGAGGTTGGAGAGTGGCGTTAGAGACTCATTGCTTAGACCTATGTCACATTAGAATTATGATGCAGAAAAATTGAATGAGAACACTGTACCTGATGGGAAAGGCGGCGGAGGCGTAGGAAGTCGGACAAGTGGAGAAGGCGGCCAACCTAGGGAGTCAATCCCTAGGCCAGCAAACAGGAGTTGTGAAGGGGTTTGCCCAAGAACAGGGAAAAGAGAGCAGGTCTTAGAAAAGGTCATATTCAGACTAAAGATCTACAGACAGATCTACATATGTTTATATACTCTAAGTAAGTAGCATAGCATAGCAGAAGGCTATGTGCCGAGTGTACAGAATTACAAGAAAGATGACTGAGACATACAAGAAAGAGGCTCGGAGAATAGTATGTATGCAATGGATCAATAATCACTCGGGTATAGGGATTACCGGTGATCCGAAAGAAGGAACTATGATACTAAAAGGAGATGGGACCAGTTGAGTGGTTCTTAGTCTAGGAGTGGACCGGTGTAGGAAGCCAATCGCTACTGAGCTAGTATCCCCTATCTTTACAATCCTCTCCAACCCACTTTCCTGCGCTGCTGCTCCACATCGACGTTGGCTGACAATTGGCCCAGTTGGTCACACTCGATCCAAGTCAGACATCATCTGCACATGCAATCGGTCACTATCCATTGTCTCATGTCATTGGCCTGTTGTCTACTGGTATGTATATCGCTTACTTTCATTGCTTTCCATCCCCATTCACATAATTGGACCGCTTATTGACCTTTTATCGCCCCACCTCACACCTTATTACATGGACACAGAGAAACAAGTATTTAGTGATCCATGAGGCATCTTAAGTGACCCAAAGTTCCCCTTCATCGCTTAGTCTCATTTACTATATATTCTGCCCATGTTCTTAGTAGTTTCTCCAGCAAATTCTCACATAGAACGATTTCTTGTGTGATTTCTCATTGAGTCGTCAGCCGACTCTCTTAGACATTCACTCATTGTACTACACACACACCTCCTCTATTCCACTCATTCATCACTCGGGTCCACTCAGGGCTGCTCCACTTCGCTCAGTTTCACTCTCTCTTCGCTCAACTTCGCTCAGCCAAGTCGGCATTGGCATTGGCATCGACTATTAGGTCAGACAATACAACTTGTTGGTGGTTTGCATTGCACTGCTTCCCCTATAGGGTCGAATGCACTTAAATTGGCCGCAGTCACGCTGATAGCCTAGTAGCACTCGCAACCCACACCGGTGAGGCAGTCAGGCGAACTAATAGTCCAGTGGGGCAACACGAGTGGAACTGAAGGAACCGTGTGGATCTGTTCAGACCGTGCTCTGGGGTAAGACGGAGTCTGAGGGGCTTGGCTTCAGCTTGTATGCTGCACCCCTTACCCAAGTATGTGCCCCTAATTTCGGATTGTAGTCCAACTCGAGTTCTACAAGCTCCAACAGGACATCAGAGCGGAGGTCCTCCGAAGGAAGACCAACGGACTACTAGATAAGCACGGGAACATCGGGCAGAGATTGGTCTGCCCTATGGGAAGAGTTGAAAGGCTACTGCAGTCAGAGTTAACAGTAGGAATGGAGTGGAGGAGACTGCTCAGATGAAGGGGGAAACAGGGGGTTGGACCAATAGTAGGGACGTCTATGAACGGTGTTTGGAGTGGCTGTATCTGGTATATGACACTTCCCCTACCACCACTATGTCTGCACTTGACATCACTGGTATTCCAAACTTTGTTGAATCAAGGAGGCTTTATCAACAGCACCCAGAAGCTTCAGCAAATTTCTCTTCCAAACCACCATATCCTGGACCTTCTCCCTTGACTCCTGTTGTGAATCTTCCTAACCTTCCTTTGCAACAGTCGACAGGTAATTTTCCAAGTCCTTGGCAGTAACCTTATAATTCGGATATTTTGCCTTCACCTAATGATTCCCCTAGTTTTTCCAGTGTTCCAGGGTACCTTTTCCATGACATGCAGCCCCAGAAACCAACACCTTTGTTTCCCACACATGGAGACATAAATGGCATAAGTTTTGTTTATATTGATACTACTAGATGTAACATCTATTCACAGCCCTACTACAGGGTGCATATATGTGTGATACTGATCAATTTATGGTTGTATAGGGTGCATATATGCATGATGCCCATCACTTACATTTTTACAGCAATGAATCCTAACGTCAGAGAAGGAGAACTTGGAATTACAAACAGAATGCAACACCATACAGTAAGTATTGACTGCAATGATAGGATACTAACACTAATCCATGATAGGAATGCATTTCATATGCTTGCCAATTGTGTGGGCTTGTGAAATGCCGACGCAAAATTTTTTATCCCACCTGAGCCCAATGTAATGACTAATACTACCCATACCCAATCTCTACCTGAGTGGCCTCCTCTGAACTGTAATAAATATGATACCAAGTTCTGGGACTTTGATGAATGGAAAAAATGGTCCAACAGCACTGAGGGACGTGGATCGATCAAGTCGCATGTCCCAGTGCCTTTCTTATAAGACGCAGATGGGGATCCTCTCACATCAACAGCTGTTGATACTATCCATCGCATGATGCATTGACTCTTCGAGATGTTGGCATCCAAGGATATTGCACCACCATCCTGGCGACACTTATCTGAACAAGCTTACCTTCTTTTTCATATTGCTATTGGTACAGCTCACCAAGAACTTGGATTCTGCTCGAATGACTGGAAAGAAAATGAACTGGCTAAGAATGTGTATTTGGCTTGGCGAACAGCATGCAGGCAAGCAAAAGCAAGGGCCAAGGGTGTCAAACCCAAAGAACTCGACCCATATGACCTTGGTGTTTGTGCAGATGACGATGAAGAGGGAGACGATCTTGAGAAGAAGTGGAGTGCAACAGTTGAAGATGATACATGTTCTGCAAAGAGATGAAAACCAGCTTCATCCTCATCTAGCAGTTCCTGCACCCCATCACCATTGGAACACCAAGAACTAGAGCTTTCTCTCATGGATATAGTACCTTCTCCACCACCAGCAGTGTGCAAGAATGACTCAGAAACAGCCACCATCCCAGTACCTCAAATCAAGCTGAAACATCTGCTGTAAGTATTTTTGTATTTATTTTTCCCTACTAACTCATTTACTATAGTGATGGCATGGCATCTACCCTTTTCCAAGTCCCACCAATGCCACTACTATCCCCAGTCATGCTGCCACCACCATCTATGACCCCAGCAGCTCCCAAAATTGCTACCCCCATCTCCCAACCCAACGCCCATGTTGACAAACCTGATGGTGAGTCCCCCAAGGCTCCAATAAAGGCCATCACTCCACCCCTCATTACAACCATATCCAACAGCCAGCCTGAACCCACCCCTGCTATCTCCAGTTCCATTAATGGTGCCTTCCGAGTTGAGCTCACTGTTGAAGCACCAAAGAAGGCCAGTAAGGCATGCCCTAGCAGTAAGAAGAATGGAAGGTGAGTGTTTTTTTGCATCATAAACTAGTGTTACATATCTGCACCAACAGGGATCTTTGCATCCTTTGTTGGCTCAAACAGGTCAAGAAAGATGGGGCTACATCAGAGTTCTGTGTCTACTGGGACACACTCGACAATCAAAAGCGCAATGTATGACATCACTTTTTTCTCGCTATACAGTACTGCACTTACTTTTCTGTTAGTCTTATGAGTTGGATGCTGCACAATTGGTGAGTGTTTCACATGTTTATAGCAGTGCTACTGATCCAAATATCTGCTCAGGGTACCTCAAATATTGTTAGTTGTGGTGATTGAGCACCTTATGGTGCGAGTTATTTGTGTTATGATGTTGCTTCCTCTATTGGACTCTCACTTAGCATGTGATGTGAATTCCTTACTTACTTAGGCAGTGTTTACACTTGTTTACATAGACTCGCCCATAGGTAGCAAGTCCTGTGTTGGTTGCTCTTCAGCAACTGACACTGGACTATAGGTATAGTACACTCATTAGTTTACACAACACAATAGCAACTGACACTGGACTATAGTCCTGTTCACTCTCATTAGCTCACTTGTGGCTTGGTTCACTTGGTTATTCTAACAAATATTTGGGTCAAGAACACTGTCCAGGCCATCATTGACAGCACATTGTATTGAGTGTATGCATTGCTTGTTGTTTGGATTGCTTTCCTGCTATTATTCAATCCCATTTCAAGCTATCAATTCGTATTGCAGCCAGGATTGTATTGTATTCGTGTTTTGTACTAGTAGCTACAAGCAATATCATATGTACTGTTCTTGCATGATATCAACTGCTCATAGTAAATGCAACAAAGTGCCATATCATGTCAAAACAACTTAAACTAACCTTGCATGACACACATGATACTGACCCCTTTTGCATTGTGTATTCATCCAGATTTCTTGTCCAGATTGTGCAATAACGGTTTCTTTGGCTGGGCATGATGTGGCACTCTCTGGACGTCTCTCGCAATGTCCGATGCTCACTGGGTGTTATGGCTCGTGGTTGTCCAAGGAAATGTGCAAGAAATACAACCAGACTTCAGAATCAAGCACCTTCCTACTGTGTTTCAGTGATGGAACCTAGTGGTGCACTATCAGCATACAACTCAAGTCACTGTTTGTCCCATTAACAACACAGATTGTTGCTGTCATATACCTGATCCGACCACTCTAATATCAATATCCGCTCCACTTTTCAATCATCGTCCACATCCGCTCCTACGTTTCTGCTTGACTGCTCAACCGGTCCCCTTCCATAACGACTCCATTCAACTGGACCTCTTTCCCCTTTTAGATATATACTTTCCCCTTCGGTACATAGACCCTTACTTCCAGATCACTGGTAATTCCTATTACCGCTCGATCACTGATCCGACTTATGTCTTCACCTGTGTAAGTACTTACAAATTATATCCTTGGTACATAACTTTACAACATAGTTATCCTGGTCACTGCCTCGTACATAGAAGTATATAACATTTCATGTACTTAGATATTTTTCTCAGTCTTAATATTACTTGTCTTCTTGCAGTTACCTCTTGTGAGAATTCTCAGTAGGACCTTGCCTCCTCTGGACACAAGTCTCAACTTGTTGTCACCTCCAACCCTCTGACCCTCCGCTCTGACTTAGAGCCATGCTCTAAGTCTTCCCCTTATTTTCTCCACCCCTTGCAATATTCCCCCTGACCCTTTCCCATCCTCCACGTTATCCTGTCTTCCCCGCTCCTACCAAATATTCCCCCTACTCCTATCCACCCTCTGCATCACTCCCCACCTCCTCCGCTCCACTCCTAGTTGGCCTGCCGCTAGTAGCTCTTACTTCCCGTCCCTCAAAGCGGACCTAAGCGGTTCACTTGTCCTATCATCGGACCCGCTCCAAATTCGGGGCATGTACTCGGCTAAGGGCGCAGTACAAGAGCTGAAGCCAAGCCCCGACCCCTCTGCCTCCTGAGCTGGCACGGTACCTAACAGTTGTATGGCATGACTACTGAGTCAACAGGATGACTTCCACTGTCAAATATCAATGCTTGAAGAGCTCATCAACAGCGCAGGGCATGAGTGTATCTTTTTACCAAATTTTCACTATGAACTCAATTCAATTGAGATGGTGCATAAATCACTTTCTAGACATTGGACAGAATTTGATTGTCAAGTCAGTACTGGGGTTGGTGCAAATATTGTTATCGTCAAACATTAAAGCCAAATTTTGTGGTGGCAAAGAGAGCAGCACAGGAGATCCTAGATTCATGTCCTGTTGAGGTTATCCAATGGTTCATTGATTGGTCATATTGTTTTATGAGTGCATATAGGATTAGGTTGACTGGAAAAGCTGCAGAGTGGGCTGTTTGTAAACAAAAGCAGCACCATCAGGTTTCTCAGCATGCAATGATGGCAATTGAGGTGGTCTTGTCATAGGTAGTAGCAACCATATAACTCTAGAAAGCTGGTTCAAATGACCAAAAATTTTGGCACACTGAAAGCATTGTGGGAAAACATTGAACAAGTTGTTTTTAGACATATTTTGAGGTCCTGGTGCATGAGTGAACTGACTGCTTCCCTATAAGGGATGTTTCTCATTAGTGTGGTTTTGGTGGGGGTCTTTGGGAATTGTGAGGACAATAATGGTGTATTGGGGTCCATGGGGATAGAGCAAGGTTTGAGGTTGGCAAAATTGTATTTAGTGAGGATGATATTGATGTAAGTCTTGTGCAAAAAGGAAATGGTGTGTGTGACACAGACATGAGTGACTTTCATGCCAAGTAGGGATGCAACTGAACCTAGATCTGTTAACTTGTAGCATACAGCTACATTACATTTGAACTCTGCAATGAGCTTGGCATTGCTACTGGTGACTGTGCAATCATTACATGAGACACAAGCATTAGAATATCAGCACCAATGTGCTTATACAATACCCCCCAGTCTGATTCAGTGCATGTCATCCCAAAACCTGCAAGAAGACAACATAACTCCTGGTACCACTTCAAGGCTCCCTGCTTTGAACCATAAAGTGCAACATGTAATAATGTGATGGGTCAATGGAATTTCTTGTTGACATCAAGTCTGGGTGGGAATTCCATGTAGATTACTTCATCTGCATTGAGTTTACCATTTAAGAAAGTGCTGTGGAAGTCAAATACATTGATATTCCAGTCATTACTTGCACCAAACAATGTTAACTCTCTCTGGTCACTCGACGATAGACCATGTTCCAGTGTCTTTGAGTGCTTGAAGCTCTTTGTTGATCACTTTGTCCTATTGAGGCCAATTGGCACATGTACTGGCTTCTTTGACTGTCATGGGATCTGACTTTTCTATTGCCACTACTCCAGCTACCATTGCGAAGATTACTTCATCATTTTTGTCCATCTCACTATTCTCCCCCACCATTCCTAGCTCAACAGCCAGGTTGCTGGACTCCTCCACAGGCTGCATCCCATGAGGTAAGTTGGCACTGTGGCCATCAGTGGTACCTGTGCCATCATGCAGGCTCTTGATGTATGCTGACTCAATTTTCACTCTCCCAGAAAAATGTGGTGGTGCAGTTGCCTCAAATTGTGGTCCTAGGTGGTCAAGAGGAGGAGGAGGATTAATGGGTTGAGTTGGGGGTTTGTTGATAGGTACTGGGTCGACATCATGGGTTTGTACTGGATTACTGCCTGATTCTGTATGTTCTCCTACAGGCATCCTCACTTCTGCCTCATCAAATTTGACACTCCTTTCTACTGCTATCTGTCTGGTGTCAGGTAAATAGACTCAATGGCCATTACTGTCATGGTTGAACCCCACCCATTTGCTATCAATCGCTCACATATTGAGTTTCAAGCTGTTCATTGAGTGAACCTTGATGCAGAAGCCCCAAACTGGTAAGTTTTTGAGGTTAACCTACTTCTGGAATAACATTTCATATGGTGTCTTATTGTTCAGTGTGTGGGTCACCATTTGGCTCTTCAGCCAGACTGCATGCATGATGGCTTCTCCCCATAAGAACTTTGGTAGTCCACTAGCATGCAACAGTGCATGAGTACATTCAGCAATGGTTCAATTTAGTTACTCTGTGATGCCATTATGCTCTGTGGTGTCATGAACAGTAAGTTTTCATTCTGTACATTTACCAGTGAGATTATGTGTGAATTCTTTGCTAGTGTATTCACCCCCTTGATCTGAATATAAGCATTTAATCCTTGGTATGCAGCAAGTACAGGTGCATGAATTGTGTATGATCATCTGTAAAGTCGGATGGACTGACATGAGAGAAACTGAAGGAACCGAGTGGATTGGAAAAGCGGAAATGGTGGAGGGAGTAGGAGTAGGATCAGGCAGACCAACAGAGTAGAGGAGCGGAGCTCTAGATAGGGTCAGATGGTGGGAATATAGTGTTGGAGGAAATAGGGGTAGTGTTGGAGGAGCAGAACAGAGTCAGGCAGAGGTAGCAGGGCTAGTCCTGCTGAGATGTACTATGTGCATTGTCAGAGAGGGATGGATGAGTGGGTGGGAAAACAGGGGGTTGGACTAGCAGTGGGGATGTTTGTAACTGGTATTAGAAGTGGTCGAATCTGGTATATGACAAGGGTCTTACACCTTCCTGATAGGTTTATGGGTGGCCTTGACATACTCACACAAGTTGCATTTGTTGAAAGTGGTGTCTGAGGGGTCCAGCATGATCCCAGTGATGACACCATCTTTAATCATCTTTTGGATACTGTCAGGAGCAATATGGCCAAGCTTGGCATGGATCTCTCCCATGGTAAGGAGTTCATTTGCTTCACAAGCCCTGTGAATAATTTTCTGGGCCCTTGTTAAGACCATGCTCAGGGGTAAAGTGGAGTCTGAGGGGCTTGGCTTCAGCTTGTACGCTGTGCCCCTTACCTGAGTATGTGCCCCTAATTTCGGAATGTAGTCCAACACGAGTTCTATAAGTTCTGACAGGATGTTGGAACGGGGGTCCTCTGAAGAAGGACCGATGGACTACTAGGTGAGCGCGGGAAAGGTCAGGTGGGGGTTGTTCCGCCTGACAGGAGGGAGGCGGGAGACTACTGTGGTCAGAACCAACAGTAGAAGCAGAGTGGAAGGGGCTACTTAGACGAAGTCTAAAGCAGAGCAAAACGAAGGGGATGGATGTGAGAGTGCAGGGTTTAGTTCTGACGCACAGGAGAACGGAACGGAGGAACGGAGGAACGGGAAGGAACGGAGGACGGAGGAACGGAGGAACGGAGGAGGACGGAGGAACGGAACGAGGAA